GAAGTGCTGCTTTAGCAACTAAGTGAAATAAAATAAGTTGCAGTAAAAGTACTAAAGATATTAAAACTACTGGAAAAAAATGAAAGCTAAACAGGGTTATAGGAAAAATTAAGGAAAAATTTAATCCATTAAAAAATGTGTTACTTGAAATAAAATAAATGTTGACTGAAATAAATTAAAGTGTAAAAACCTTTTTTTTCAACCTTCTCATTTAGTTTAAAATAACTAAAACTAAAATAAAATTAATAAAAACTATATAGACATACCAAAAACTACAAAAAAAATGACTAAAACTTTTACTAAAATGAAAAAGAAAATAGCAAATAGATTTCAAATAATAAAAATAACGGTATATAAGTAATCCTTAAATAACACGGAAAGCTCATGATGTTTAAAAAAATCACAGTTTTAAAATAACAAAAATGGCCCAAATATTTAAAATGCTAATTAATTTTTTCTGTTATCTAGCCTTTAATATAATATATCAAGTTTGGTATGGGTTGGAAGTGATTAACATAAATAGTCAGCATGCTGTGTTTTATACGTATATAAATGTAAAAAAAGCTCCTGAAAATGAATATTTTCTGGCACTAGTGGGAATCCTGGCATTTACACCCACAAAGACACATTTACACTGTGTTAGCAAGTAATTTACAGTACCTAAATATTTCCTCTTGCTTCTCTTTCCTCATTTTCATGACTTTTTCTTTTTGCTTGGCGAGCTGCTTCCGTTTCTCCTCCTCTTCCTCCTGCCTCTGAGCCTCTGTTGCTTTCATCAGCTCTCTGTTGGTCATATAGTCCTGATGGAAGACAGAAGAATTTCAAGGATTTCAATCAAAACAGCATCCGATTCACTCGATCTGTAAATGTTGTTCAACAACCGCCTCACCTGATGACCCTTCATCGCGCTTCTCTTCTCTTCCTGTTTCTTGCACTCAGTCATGGACTGTTCCCACAGATGAAGATCTCGGAGTCGCTCAATTTCTTCAGCCTCACGTTGGACCTCCTGCCTCTCCTGCTCTTTCTTCATGTCATGATCCTTCATCCTAATATAGCAGGAAACATCAGGTCCTTTTTATTAGGTCCTTTCGCATTACCTACATCATAGCTTCCGAATGCATTGAAGCACTTTGATATCTCCTTACTGTTGTTTCACGCTCTCAGCGGTGGCCAGCTGGTCTTGTTTCCTCTGTATGGCTTTCTGCTGCTCCTGCTGGAGGGCCTGTTCTTCTCTGCAAGCCATTTCGGCCAAGATATCTCTGTCTATGTCCTTGCTGGAATTTTGCTTCATGCGTTTTAGTTCGATCTGAGCCTCTCTTTCCTTCAGAACCTCCGCCAGCAGCAGAGCACTCTATAAAAAACAAAAGAATAGTTTCTACTAACATTCCACATAGTAAAAGTGTGACCAAATAATGAGAGACACAGACATGGAAGCCTTTCACTCTGTCGGTCTGGTAGTACTGCTGGGCTTTTGCTTTCTCAATGGCCTCCTTCCGTATCTGAGCCTGGTATTTTGCTTCTTCTATGTCAATTTGTTTCCGCTCCTCTTCTTCTATCGCCTCTCGAATTTTTTTGGCCTCTAGCTTTTTTTGTCGCTGTCCCTGTAAGGGGAAAAAAATTGATCTGTTTTTCTCCATGGAAGACATTTTGCATAAGTCAAATGCATAGCTTATATTAGCCCAAGCATTTATATTAACTATTATTATTATTATTTTACTTTTACATTTTTTAAGAAAACCCAAAAATATTACATCAAGACAGCATTAAAATTACAATCAACTTATTCAACATTATAACAGAGGCATAAACAAAATAAAAATTGGATGGAGAGAAGTACAGAAAAAAAATAAAACATTATACAAATATCTGCATATATATATATATATGTTTTATTTTATTTTAGATGATGATTTAGTCATTTTGTTGTGTTTTTATAATTTTTAGTAGTTTTTGTTTTTATACATGTAGCTTTTATTAATT